GGTTTCGCTTTTTATCTTGCTTACATTCTTCTGCATGCTTGGACAACTGAAAACTATACATCAGCGTAAGTTTTTAATAACCATGGAATTTAATACTGTGCTATAACTACTATTTCTTTAACTATAGGTAGATTAAAAATCAATAACCAGGATGAGTAAGAAGGAAACGAAAGGCACATATATTTAAATATGATTGTAGGCAAATGGTAATAAGAATATTACAATTAACTTATGTAGTAATTCTTGAATACTTTGTAAAGTTTTTTTTGGGGGGAGGGAAAAAAACACACTGGTCCGCGAAATTTTTTCGTAAGTTTTACCGGTCAGCGGACCAAAAAAGGTTGAGAAGCACTGCTCTATAGACTTTTGCGTTTTCGTCCATGCAAATCTTGCCCTCCCCTCCAACTCCCGTGAAGAAAATGAAAAGTTGGTGCCTGTGTTCATTCTTACATATGGCAAAATGGCAAATTTTCCCTGATAGAAAGGGCTAATCCGTTCCCCCCTTCCCACCCTCACAGAAATTTTCAAGAAAAAAAAAGCCGTATTTCACTGTATACATTTTAAATAAAAAATATAATAAAAACGATAAAATAAGGATAAATAGAAATTATATTAAGTAAAATAAAATAAGAACGTACTTCATCAAATGGACTTTTCTTTTCCAATAGTAGTAAGGTTATTGTGCATCGAAAATTTTCTTCGCCAACCACTCAGTGACTCAGTAAATACGAAAATGGAATGTGTAGATGATACATAACACGTGGCTTTCTAGACACATGGAAAATGACCGTTACCTGGTACTAGATGCGTAGAAGGGTCATTGTGAGTAATAAACAACGTCTGCGTATGTAGTCGCTGTAAGTACGGTATTACCTAGATTTAAACCTGCTCACAGCGTGAATTCCCAATTCGAACTTCTTTGTATGATACTATCCCTGACGATTGAAGGATGGGTGACAAGGCATTGATGGATGAGCTGGAGAGGGAAGGTGGGGAGGGGGTGTTAGGAGGTGTTGGGAGGGGGTGCGAACTCCCATGGTCCCTGTCCTGTGTAAGCATTCAAGGAACATTTTTCTTCTTCCCCGATTTCTTTTGCATTTAAAAAAAAAGCTCTGTGTCGTTCGCTGGTCGGCACCCGCCTGCAAAGAAGGCCTTGCGAGCCTGCTTCCGCCGTCCCTGGTCACACAGACGTAAAGGATAATCACAGTGACCCTTTCTGTTTTTGAGAAAACAGAATGAAAATAGTATAGTTCTGGTGTTTCACACTAGGTGGCGCCACCAACTACCAGGGAAAGTCCAGAAAAAGTCTATAAATAGCGGTAATTCCCAAGTGCACTTTTCATTCCTTTCCGGAGCTTCCTGAGTGTAGGCTGCATTTTGACAACGCTCCGGCGTTTTTGCTGTTTGTAAGTATTCTTGTAAGTTTTTTTCAATACTTTCTTGCTGATTATTTTCTTGTATTAGTGATTTATCTGCTAATATTATGTATGGCTTTAGATACAGGTGAGGCACCCGACCACGTGGTAAACGTTCCGCCACGTGCTACGAAGAGAACGTTGGATCGAAAAGTGCCCCCGAACGGACAACGGGCTTGGCTTATTGTGTGCATAGTCTACCTTTTGTCTGTTGTGGTTTCGGGCCTAACTTCATCTAGATGCCAATCCTTCATAATTGCAGCCAATAAAGGCTGCGATTGAGAAGGAGTTTCCAGACGCATCTAGGACTTCTCTTCGTACCACGTTCTCGGGTGACTCAATTGTAACTAAAGTCATAGTATCAGCAGATAAAAAACTAATGCAAGGAAATAATCAATAGAAAGCATTGAAAAATACATACAAGAACACTTACAATACTTAAAAACAGCAAAAACGCACGAGCGTTGTCAAAAAGCCGCCTACACACAGGAAGCAAAGTAAAAATAAACATGTTACAGGGAGAAAGAGAGACAGAACTATTAATTGCTAGGCTACTTTTCACAGCAGATTCTCGGGATTTCACAAATGCAGTAATTCAATAAATATTTAAGAAGAAATTTAATTGAATACACACACACATCTACATAAGGACATGCTACATATGTAAATAATAAATTTGAATTTAAAAGACCATAAATAAAGTAATTTGAAAGATAAAGAATATGTTACAGGGAGGGAAACACATATATAAAGTTTAAGGCTACTTTCACAGCAGACTCTGGGGATTTCATAAATGCACGTGTCCTAACTCAATATATATTTAAATAGAAAATTAAATGAACACAGACACATCAATATAAACACATAAACAACATGTTAGAACTACGGAAACACATATCTCAAATGTAAGGCTACTATTACAGGAGATTCTCGGGATTTCACAAGTTAACATGCACTAATTCAATAAATATTTAAATAGAAATTTGATTAAACACATTCACCCATGTATATGAACAGTATGTTAGAAAGACTGAAACACGTATCTCAAATGTAAGGCTAATAGCACAGGAGATTCTCGGGATTTCACAAGTGAACATGCACTAAATCAATAAATATTTGAACAGAAATTTAATCGAACACAAACACATATATATAAATACAAGCTATATAAATTTATACGTGCTATGCATAGATACATATTGTTACAAATTTTCCACTTGCAGAGCAGCACTCAGATTGCTAAATACTGGTTTCACTTTGTGTAACGTGCAAAACAGACGTCCATTGCCTCATGCAGGTAGCCGTAGTGTACTTGGACATTATTACCTGAACTAAAGAAAATGAATTTCTTATTTAAGAATATCTTAATGAATAAAGAAACAGAAACGGGATTAAAAAGTAAAAGAACGAAGTAAAGATAAGATACACGGAAATACAGAAATTAGACATTAAAGTTATGCATTCAGTGAAAAAATTGGGAAATAAATAAACGCAACTGTTGAAGTCTCTTTTAATCAAAAGTTCGTTATCATTTATGAAAAACTCTCTTAAATTCACGTTCGTTCTTGTTCACAGAATATGGAATGTACAGGGAGGAAATGAGTTTGACACACAGAAAGGAATGACAATTAATTTAAAACACACCAGGAAACATGTGCGCAAGTTTGACAGAGCATGCGGAAATCAGTAGAACTCACAATGACATGAAAACTGATTCATAAGAGGTTCAAAACTGTAAAAAAAGGACGTGAGTTCGGCACGAAACGCAAGTAACGAAGTCCATTTCAATGTAGCTTTTATGTTCGTGACACAGACGTAAAAGATAATCGCAGTGTCCCTTTCTGTTTTTGAGAAAACAGAATGAAAATAGTATAGTTCTGGTGTTTCACACTAGGTGGCGCCACCAACTACCAGGAAAAGTCTATAAATAGCGGTAATTCCCAAGAGCAATTTTCATTTCTTTCCGGAGCTTCCTGAGTGTAGGCTGCTTTTTGACAACGCTCCGGCGTTTTTGCTGTTTGTAAGTATTCTTGTAAGTTTTTTTCAATACTTTCTTGCTGATTATTTTCTTGTATTAGTGATTTATCTGCTAATATTATGTATGGCTTTAGATACAGGTGAGGCACCCGACCACGTGGTAGACGTTCCGCCACGTGCTACGAAGAGAACGTTGGATCGAAAAGTGCCCCCGAACGGACAACGGGCTTGGCTTATTGTGTGCATAGTCTACCTTTTGTCTGTTGTGGTTTCGGGCCTAACTTCATCTAGATGCCAATCCTTCATAATTGCAGCCAATAAAGGCTGCGATTGAGAAGGAGTTTCCAGACGCATCTAGGACTTCTCTTCGTACCACGTTCTCGGGTGACTCAATTGTAACTAAAGTCATAGTATCAGCAGATAAAAAACTAATGCAAGGAAATAATCAATAGTAAAGCAAGAAAGCATTGAAAAATACATACAAGAACACTTACAATACTTAAAAACAGCAAAAACGCACAAGCTTTGTTAAAAAGCCGTCTACACGCAGGAAGCAAAGTAAAAATAAACATGTTACAGGGAGGGAGAGAGACAGAACTATTAATTGCTAGGCAACTTTTCACAGCAGATTCTCGGGATATCACAAATGCAGTAATTCAATAAATATTTAAGTAGAAATTTAATTGAATACACACACACATCTACATAAGGACATGCTACATGCGTAAATAATAAATTTGAATTTAAAAGAACATAAATAATTTGAAAGATAAAGAATATTTTACAGGGAGGGGAACACATATATAAAGTTTAAGGCTACTTTCACAGCAGACTCTCGGGATTTCATAAATGCACGTGTCCTAACTCAATATATATTTAAATAGAAAATTAAATGAACACAGACACATCTATATAAACACATAAACAACATGTTAGAACTAGGGAAACACATATCTCAAATGTAAGGCTACTATTACAGGAGATTATCCGGATTTCACAAGTTAACATGCACTAATTCAATAAATATTTAAATAGAAATTTGATTAAACACACACCCATGCACATGAACAGCATGTTAGAAGGACTGAAACACGTATCTCAAATGTAAGGCTAATAGCACAAGAGATTCTCGGGATTTCACAAGTGAACATGCACTAAATCAATAAATATTTGAACAGAAAGTTAATCAAACACAAACACATATATATAAATACAAGCTATATAAATTTATACGTGCTATGCATAGATACATATTGTTACAAATTTTCCACTTGCAGAGCAGCACTCAGATTGCTAAATACTGGTTTCACTTTGTGTAACGTGCAAAACAGACGTTAAAACTAGTTACCATAAAATAAATTTTTGTCAATGTCGTGAAAGCAATGAAAAACATAACATATAAACAAACATAACATGCCTTAGACTATGCATCAGCACCCTGTGGAGTCAATGCCATGGCGTGTGCTGGCAGTTTTGAGGGCTAAAGGTGGTTCTACATGTTATCAACAGGGTGGTCATAATGTTATGTCTCTTCATTGTATCTTAAAATGCTAGACATGAACTTAACAAAATTTATTGTTATATGAAAGTTTTTAAAAATCACACATGGAAAACTTAAAATTATTTATTGACAAAGCATTTACATAAATAAAAATTCTTCAGTGAGTATAGAATGACATCAGTGTTTCAATAGACATACAGCTACCTACATTCAATATACACATACAATAACGGCAGAAACAGGCAGATGTTCAAATCTATTAATCATCCTTCAGAGAACCTGAAATAAGAAATTTTATTAGCAGATATGATTATCTGCATAACAATTATTTTTAATCTTTAACATGCTTTTCCTATGAGAATTATACAGAAAAATTAAAAGGCTAGGATAAGATGTTATGCAATGGAATTTTTTTAAGAAATTATATTTCAAAACGAAAGAATTCATTTCTAATGTATTAATCCTCCTCGTCAAAAACTGGTGCAGATGACTGGCAGCATTGAGCCATTGACTCTTGTACTTAATTGTGCAATGCCAAAGGATATTCACCAACTTTTTACATTTGTAGTGTTAAAATTGTAAGATTATAATTTATGTTTGCTCATTCAGTTGAAAGAAAACAAATCATTAAAATTTGGAATTTAGTGGCAATGGTAGAAAATGCAAAGCATTATTTTCAATAATATGGAACTTTGCTACTGGAAACATAGTATCAAAATGACCATAACATGGTGTTGTAGCCCACCAGCAGCCGAGCGGTAAAATTCCTGAACACTGGTAGTTCAGTCCGAGGTTTAAATCCCGCGAACGGGCTGGCTGCATGGGCGTTTTCGTGGTTTTCCCCATGTGTAATGTGTACATGAGCCAGTTTCCGTTAAAAAGTCCTCCACGAAGGCATCCCTTCCCTTAGGCAGATAGCCCTAGTGTGCTTTACCATATTCTCAATAATTCAATCCATGGTGTTGTGTCAGATAATCAATTTTAGGCACCATTAGGAATTTCTACCTGATGGAAGAACAGAATATCCTGTAAAATTATAGTTAAGTTAAAGTAAATATAATTCAATACTATATTTATAATTAATATTTCATTTTTAAATAATGTGGAATTATGTTCTGCATTTCCATACTTTTAACACTATTAATAGAATAATAATAATTTTCCCAATTACAGAATTTGCAATTAAAAATTTTCTGTTGGCACAGAAATCTTCATACCAGCAAACAACACCTGTATTTCTTGGGATGAAATAATATCCAGGTACCAAGAATTCTTAAATACAAAATATTAAAACAAAATATTTTTATTTAAAAGTTTGAGTTCATATATTTTTATGTCACAAATGAAGATTTTTGAGAGCAGGTGATAAAAAACAAAGTGCTATCACCTCTTCTGTTTTTTTCGCAAGGAAAAAAAAGCCCTTTCACACAAACAAATGTCAAGTATGCAAAATATACCACTTATACTACATCTAACCCAAATTTTGTACAGTTAAAAGGTACCTTAATTATAATTTGTTTACAAACACTCATAAACTTTTAAACTCGAGCGATAGTACATTTTTTTCACAGGGTTCGTAGCCACATTTTAGTTAAAAAAAAATAAGCACCTATAAGACTTTTCAAGCACATTTTAAGGAAAAAAATAAGCACATGTCTAATTACATTATACACAACTGCATAGCTCTAAAATAAAAATTAGACTTGTAATTTAAAATATGAGAAATTCAGTATTTATTAAGAGAGAATGAGCATTACTCAACTATGGAAAACAATTACATTCTTTTTTTTCTTTATTTTTAATTTTAAATAACAGTTCAATTTACAGAACTAGTTTAGAATGAGAGGAAAAATAACTATGCAGAACTAAATCATATTACAAGATTTAATGATGAAATTTCAGTTCAAAACAGAGAAAATGAATAACAATAAGCCATATTTATTATATTCGCTTGGCACCTAAAAATAAATACAATTTATTTTCCCACTCATATTAATATTTAAATAATTCAACTTAAATCAAAATTCTGAACGTTTTCTAAATTTTTCATTGTATTACAGTTTTTTCTCAACAGATATTGCAAGCAAAGAAATTTAAGTAAAAAAAGGGAGCTTTTCTAAAATCAGAAGATAGGAAATTGCTTCATGCAGTCATCCTTTAATAGTAAAAGCTTAACTAACCGGCATACTCGGAAATTGCCGATTATCTGAAAATTCTGGATAGTCGAGCGTAACTGGTAAAAAAAGAAGGGGGTAGATTGTAATCTTTCTTAGATTTTTCAGCTAAATAATGCTTTTGACATTTTGATATGTGCATCATATAAAAAATAGCCCAATGGAACTGAAAAATAATCTGCTTAGCAAGCACAGTAAAAACTCTTTTATCTGTACGAAATATTGCAAACTTTATTGTGCTATACATGCACCTTAATTCTTCCGCACGTGATATTACGCAATCAGAATCAACAGCTGCAGGTATTCGAAGAATAAATAACTAAATAAAGGAAAACACCCCTTTGCTTCATCATGTGCCCATATGGCATATTTATCATTCAGCAGGACACAACCCGCTTAACCTGCCATACTCATATTGATTAATAAAGAGATTTACCAATCTGGGATGCTTTTCATTCTAATTTTGAACAGACTGTGTTAAATTTCCGGAATAGAATCATTCTGCGCTTGAGTTGGTAGACCGCAGAACATTTAGTCCTATTCAATCTAGGTTAGAAAGTGACCAAAAAAAAAAAAAAAAAAAAAAAAAAAAAAAAAGCCTGTTGCTTGCTTTGCCATGAACTGTAACAGTTTCAATATTCAAGATTTTGCGAAGAAAGGGATAAACCTCCAACTTGTGTACTGTATAATGCACTAGGGAGAAAAAATTATTTTGACTATTCGATTACTTTCATTTTATTTATGCCATTCCGAATATTATTCCTTAGAAAACTAATATGTGTTAAAACACACTTACCCATTTTTTAAGTTTATCTATACTTCAGCAGTTACTGCAAATATATTATTATAAATATTCATACATATGCTCATAATATAAGCATACCGATCATAATAAACCCGAATATGAATGGACCATGCGAAATGAGAAAGTAAATTATTAAAATCTTGATAGAAATTCACACGTGTGTAATATTGGGTAGGAGCAAAAGAATATGGAATGTACTAGAATTTTCTACTGCTTTCTCAATTCTTTGACCAATAGAATGACATGTACCTGTCAGTACTCGTGTGCACCAAAGGTTATGTTAATGCAGATCCATCTGACGTTCCATATAAGGAAAAGTTGTTTATTTAGTTTCGGCTATGGTACGGGGAAAAATGTGTGTTTGTTAAAAAAAAAAGGCACTAAAAGCAAAAAATAAGCACTTAAAACAAAAAAATAAGTGCTTTAGAGTCCTCCACGAAGCACCTATAAAGGCTTTTATATTTTATTTTCAAATATAAGGACTTATAAGCACTTGTAAGGACTGCTACAAACCCTGTTTCATTTTCAATGAGAAAATATAACACGTATTTTATTTTGATTCATCTAACTGACAATGACACTGCTGATTCAACATATGTAATTTGTTTGTAATTTTCAGAATTTTGGGCTTACTACTACTGCAGAAAACACGTTGGCAACACAGTATTTTATACTTGCCAGCAGCTAATTGGTTTTAAAATGGTATTAAGCTTAAGTTAGCAGAAAATATACGATATTTAACATTTATGAATTAAATTTAGGAGAAGTAACATGATATTATTATGCATATGTAAGTTAAATTTATATTTAGGATGAAAAAAAATGATACTAAGCATACATAAATACAAATTAGCTGGTTGAACACGATGCTAAGCACAAAGTTAGCAGGTAAAGGCATGATATTAAACACAGATATGTCCAATTTAGCTGATTAAGCATGCTATTTAGCGTGCATAAATTAGAAGCTAGGAAGCTAATTTGAATTTATGCATATATAAACAAAATTTAGCTTGCTAAACATGATATTCAATTCATATCAATTTAAGTCAGCCAGAAAAAAAAAGGAAAAAAAAAAAAAAAAATAGCTGGTTAAACATAATGTTTAGTACATATAAATTAATGTTAGGAGAAAAAAACCTGATATTAATATATGTAAGTAAAAATTAGCATAAAAATAAATGTTAGTTACTGAAATCAATTTAAAATTAATTCCATGTTTGCAAACAGTTAAAAATGCCTGTCCACTAATAGTAATAATTTATTTTCTTTGTATTACATTTTGTGTGGCATTGCGAATATTGCCCTATAATGAAACAACTGCATTAAAAATTTCAGCGAATGAACCTTGACTATTATGTTCAATGTCACGTCACAACAAAATATTTGAATAAGTGATCCACGAGATTTTTACTGAAGATCATTCTTTGATAGCTTCATTTTTAGAAAAGATAATAAGAAAATCAGACAAAACAATAATAAATAAGTGAAAAATGAATTGCAAAGATATGAGCATAAAACAATGTGCAAATTGCAAAGACAGAAAGCAAGGAAAACTGTTGCTACCTTTGAACAGCACTTTAGTGAGATAACTAATTTGAACTATTATCGCTTTATTTCGTAAAGTTAACTGGGCTGTTTGTGGTAGTGCTTCCAAAATTTTGAAAAGTATAGCATGGAAAACAATGCGATGCATATCTTTTACTTGCTTTTTTGTGTGGCCCTTTTATTTTCATTTTTAATTATTACGAAGCATGTAAGTAGTTTTATTTTCCTACATAAATCTGCTTATAAAAATTTGTTAAACGAATAAGGAAAAAATAAAATTATTCATATTTATATAGTGTAGACTGCATAAATCTATTTATATGATATATAACACAGGCATGACTAGTTCAGGTCTATCCCAGAATATACCCAACTCTTCATGGAAAAGCCATGCCACATATACGAAATTTCGGTTGCAGTGGAGAGAAGAGTACCCCTTGTATTATTGTGACGTTGTTGCTTCATTTATTGCCAAGTAGTGGTTTATTTATAGTAGTCTGAGTAGTTGAATGTTATAGAAACCCTATTATGACATAATCGGTTGCATGATTGCGTTGAATTTGTAAGGGCTTGTGCTGTGTGTTGGTTAGGAAGTACACTGCTGGTTTAGACGGTAAAATGGCTGAACATGGTAAGATTAATTTGATGTTTCCGTACGATTTGGAAAGAAAGGGAAAAAGAGCATTACTTGACTGGTGTGCAAATGAAGGTTTACTTATGAGTGTTCCGTTTGTAGGAAGGAAATGCATATGGTTGGACTATAACGGCACTATGGAAGATATTTTTTACTTTTATTTCGTGAATTTATGTGGCGACACCAATATACAGATTCTAGTTCAGATAATTTTAGGAAGTTTTTTTGATGCTGTTAAAGAATTTTCTTTGACAGAAGATGTGTTAATTCGTAAATAAGGTAAGTGGATATTTCCTTTGTGTACAGCAAAGATGAATTTCCTTTTTCATGCTATTATTTCATTGTTTGATTTAAAATGTAGTTGAGATTATATATTTTTTGTTCACTGCTCTTTTGAATTTTTAAGTGAATATAGTTCGATGTGTACATGGACAGAGTCAAGGGAGTGCGCAATGCCTAGTTTGTGCAGTTCTCTGATTTTCAAGTAAAAAAAAAAAAACATCGATGTGTACAAAGATAAAGGAAGTGCACAATGCCAAGTTTGTGCAATTCTGGGATTTTTTTTTTTCAAGCGAAAATACATCGATGTGCACATGGATACCGAGTTTGTGCAATACTTTTTCTTATTATTTTGACTTTGTGTAGCAGCAATTTTTTGTGCAAAAATCGTATTAATACTTAATGTTGACTTCATGAAGACATGGTCACATGAAGTCAACGTTTTCAAGGAATCCAAAATAATGAAACACTCATCCTGCGACAATTAACAAAAAATGCATAATGTCAATTCTCCCAGAAATGTTAAGAGTGCTGCAGCAAATGTTCCAAGGGAAATTACTTCAGAGCATTTTAAAAATACAGTCAAAAGTCTTTAATCTGGATTCGTCGGGACTTTAGCGATTCCGAATTATCGATTCTTCAGGATTATAGATCGTCAGTTTAAATCTGGTAAGATGGCATGCAGAAAGTATACAATTAAAAGTATGAAATCATAATTTATGAAATAAAGAGCAATTGTGATCTAAAGGGTATCAAAATTTACAAAAAAAAAAAAAAAAAGGTTAACATTTATTTGTTTACTTTATTAAACATTTCTTTCAAAGCGCGCATGCGTAAAGCTTACATTGCGCATAGTCGAAATTAGAAAATTACAACCAGAAAACTATTTTATGCATATTCGTGATATTTATGACTAGAAAATTGATTTAAATCATATCGGAGTTCACCGAGATGAAACACTACATTTAGTAAGGAATTATAAGCTGAATAAAATAAAAATATATGCCCTGAAGATGAGGATAGTGCTGACAGATCAACTTCCAGTTCATTGCACGCCGCAACGTTCCCTCCCTCCCCCTCCCCGCACAGAGTGAAATTGATAAACAGATTTCGGAATGGTTAGAGAAACAAATCACCTCTCTGTCACTTTCTTCATGCCTTTATCCATTTTTTGCAGCAATTCCACTTTTTGTTTAATGGACATCAAAGCATGCTTTCACTTTGTAGATCCTTTGGCAGCTCCAGCATCGGAAATTCTATCTGACATAATCGAAAGTTCAAGCATAATTTTAAGCTTACTTTTATAAAATTGCTCTAACAGTCTGCAAAAAATAATAAGTCAAATCCAATTCGAAGATTAAGGAACAACGCAATCTGCAATATTAATTGAAATAGATAATTAGATAATTTTAGCTTAGCTTATACCGTCCGTTATACATTAAACACGCATACATAAACGTATTATGCGCATGCGTAAAGATATTACGCGCATGTGTTAACGCATTATGCGTTTACGCATGCTCAGAAAGTTTGTAGCTTTCAGGTCCGGATTATAGATCATTCCAGATTATGGGCATCGGGATTAACGACTTTTGACTGTATTAAACAGAACTGACCTACAAGTATGTTCCATAAGTTTTTTAACCAAGAATATATATCACTGAAGCAAAGGTAAAAATTTTATCAAAAATTAGCTTACAGATTTGTACCTTTTCTATTATCAAAACCGACTGCCATAAAAACAGATGTTATCAAAATTTACTCTTTGATACATCAGCTTAAGCAATTCTTACTTTTCAGTAATGATGAAACTTGCTGAACATGAACAAATTCTGAAATTTGCTGGATTCAAATCAGGGTCATCCAGACATATCAAGCAGCAATATGCTTTACAGTAACTGATAATCTTCAGTACATATACAGATAAAATATTCTCCAAAAATATATATGCATTTTCAGGAAGACAAAACATATTACATCCCCTGAAATAATACATGTCTATTTTTCAACCAGGCTGCCAAGCTACATTTGTTTCCATACTTTCAGGTATGGAAACTATTGTCTATCTAAACTATCTGAAACAATGAGTAATACATAACATTTTATATATAAAAAGATGTGTACCAAAAGAAAAAGAAAGGGGGAAAAAAACCCTAAGAGCTATTTTTTTTAATTGGTTATTAGAAGATGCATCTTTATAAATAAAATTAATACTGTAGTTAGTAAACAACTGTAGTTAATAAAATATTTAACAGTTTAAAACAATTTGCATTTACCAAATTCGTACAAAATTTAATTATTTTCTTAAAAGTAAATCAATGAGAATATTGGGTTTGAACACTTGTTATCAGAATGGCTATATCTGATTTTATGCTATTTTTGTTCAGTTGCAAAACTGAACCTCGATTTTCATCCAAGAGACTTTTTCTGTAGGCAAATTTATTCATTATATAAAATGATTATACATACCCTCTAAAAAGGCAAGGCAGTCACAAGCACTGATGCAATCATCTGTAAAGAGCAAATTTGAATAAATTAATATTACATATTAGTTAATATTAAAAAAAAGATTTGTTTTAAACTATTACAGTAAAAAAAAAAAAAAAAAAAAAAAATCGGAAAAATTCTACTTTTCTCAAATAATAACACAATAACTGTTGATACATTTTTCTTAATAATTTTGCTCCTTGGCGTAAAGAGGTTCATGCCTACCTTCACTGGAATGATTTTGTTTTTTGCTGTATAAGTAATAATAATTTACAAATGAATTTTGCAAATATTAAATCTGAAACGGACAAATTTCTCTTCACATAATAGGAAGCCACCTTAGATATGGAGACACTACGAATAACAATGCTGCACATTTTTAGTCCTTTGAGAACTTAATTCTGAACATGTACAGATAAAACTAATCAGAGTTCCAACACTTTGGGCTAGGGTTCAAACTTTCTTGCCTGAGAGCCACATCAATAAATTCGCAAAGATCCGCGGGCCACACGTATTTAAAAAAATAGCGTAGTCAGAAAATTTATATGAAAAAGGGAGGTTTGTTTTACAAGACTACAATTGATTCTAAGCGAAGAGATGGCGTTACACATTTATATATATATATATATATATACATTGGTTCCAAAAGGTCAAATGGAAGTAGAATTAAAATCTTTTGCAACATTTTTAAGTATGAAAAAAAGTATAAAGATGATTGTACAGAACGATGTCACAAAATGCATTTACAATTAAAAAAAAAAAAACTTATATTATGGTAGTTCCTTTAGTTTTAATGTGAAATTTGACATTCTTTTTGCTTGATTAAAGCTTCAATATCTGCTTTAATCTGTGTTGCTGCAATTCGTAAAGTTTCCTCCAAATGTCCATCTGTCAGCCGTGTTCTTGTTTTTGATTTTAGGATTTTCATTTTACTAAAACGTCGTTCACATATGTAGGTACTGCCAAAATTAGAAAACATAAGAGTGCATGTTTATGAATTCCTGAATACTTGTCTTCGGTCATGTACTTCGAATAAAAATCAATGAATGTAGGATTTTCAAGAAACTTGCATTTTACCGCAGGGTCACACTGTAAATCGATAAATTCTAACTGAAGTTCAGATGGAACACTTCTAACGTCTATTGAAAATGGCGACATTCTCATGAACATTTCATTTTCACGAAAATCAAAAAATCTGCTTTTGAATTCCTCTTTCAACTTTGAAACGTATTGTACATAATTACTTCAATTCCATGTTGTAGAGTTTTTCCCACACTCCATCAATTTTGGAGAATGACACGAATTCTTATTTAGCAACTGACTTTCCCACAAGATTAATTTTGTCTCAAAAGTAATAAAAATAAAAGTAATAAAAATTATGAACAAAAGGATCGATTCCTAGTAAGCGGTAGTTCAAATAATTGAGATGACCAGTAATATTGCCAAGAAATGCAAAGTCTCTCAAATATTTCTCATCACTGAACTCGTGAATATATTTCTCTTTAGATTCCATAAATTGTTGAACTCTGGTTTCAAAGAAAACAGGCACCGAAGCATTTTTCCTCCGCTCAACCAACGTACTTCCGTGTTATACACAGTGTCACCATATTCAGTTTCCAAATCATTCAAGAGCTGTTGAAATTGCCTGCATTTAAGTCCTTTAGACTAAATTAACTTAACCACTTTTACAAAAGAGATAAGAATCTACTCTTTTCACGAAATTGAGATTTTATGCATAGCGAAATTTTTAAAATTACATAAGATAAATTGAAATTTTTGAAAAACTCATCATTTTTAGAAAATTTTATCTCAAATGATATCAGGCATGTCAATAAAATGTTTTAAATATCAAGAATAACAGAGAATGAATATTTTTTACAACAAAAAGCTGACAAGGCAATTTTTCTTGAAACCAGAATTTTTTAAAGTTCTTCAATTTTTCTTCAAATTGAAATGTGAGGCCACTGGTTGAAGACCCTACTTTACTACTCTACGCAGAACAGGCTTAACCCTTCAGCACATTCACCCTTTTGTATGACATTATCACATGCACTTGGTCAATATGATACTAATTTTTATTTTTTATGCTAGCTTCTCAATAAGATATAGGTATTTAAAAATATATATAAATATACCTAAGCATGTTGTTTGAATAATATATTAAGCATCAGTATGTATTATTTATTTCTAAAGCAAACTAATGAAAAAACTAATTTTAATTGATGTTGCATCCCTTTTTCGACATTCATTCATTTTCTACCATTCTGAAACATTTAATATGTGCCATTAACGAATTTTTTCTTGAACAAAGGTTTTTAAAATTTTTTTTTAATTCAAGTGTTTAACACATTTGCTGCCAATTATACACTGACACATGATTTGTGTTATTGCTGAAGAGCCAATCATGCTCTTGCGCATGGCGTGGGGTGATATCTCAGGTACCAGTCACGTGCTAGTACAGGAAAAGCAATGCCTCATTGTTTACTTTCAGTTTCAATTGGCATTGCATTTTGGATATATATGCTGGTAATGGCGTTGAGTGAAGTTAGAAACTAGTTGTATATGTATGTGGTTTGGAATGGGAAAAAAATTTCATTTTGGGAAAATCATACACAAATACCATTCAGAAATATTTAGTTTGCAATAGCATGATTGTAACTATCTTGTAATAAATTCATTTGTAATATATATATTTGTTTGTGATATAGTTTCATACCACAATAATGCATATTGTTACTTATTTTGATTCACTTTTAAATACCACGCACTTGCAGGTAATGCAGCATCACAGGAGTAATTTTGCCTCTAGTGCTGATCACATGCTGCCACGTAGTAATAAAATTCTATGCTTAAAGGCTTAGTAATCAATGTGGTACATATAATAATCTACTATTACCCTTGTTTAAATCATACTTCTTATAATAAGCAAGTCTGCATGTAGGTATAATCTATTTCTATGACACTATTAAATATCAATACAACCCCACATGACCAGCACCTAAAGTGTTAAATAACAATAAAATAATAATTTGAATCATGTTTGTGTTGAATAAAAAAAACTTAAAACTAACTACTCAGCATTCACATTCAGTTGGTAAATATAAACTATTGGCAGATTTATTTAATTTTCTTGGTTATGCTCAATATATATATATATATATATATATATATATATATGCATATATATTTTAATTCCCCAAAATAATTGTTACAGTAGAAAGTCAGAAATCCGGACATCCATTATCCAGAATGATCTAAAATCCGAACCTTAAAACCATCAACAACGTTTTTTCTCATAGGCTTTACGCATGCAAATTTGATTCCCCCTCCACGCATAATAAAACATCTGGAGAGTCCCGATTGTTAATTTCACTTTGACACTACATAAAATACCTTGTTATTGAAGAAACAATTATTTTAGCATAAATTTGTACGATCAGTAAGTTGGCTCCATTGCTGCGTATCTGCTTGACACATATCTCAAACGGAAACATTCCACATAGATACATCATTGATCCAACGCCAACCTGGTAAATCATTATTTATTATACTTTCCTTTCATCACCGCATGTTTATCAAAATATGACAACTTGTGGTGGCCCTCAATAAGGCTTAAGTATATGTAGGAATTTATTTATTCAGAACTCTGATAAGCCTTAAGCATGTGCAAGAAATAGACATAAGTATAATAAATAACTAAACTAATACAATTCAGGCTTAATTGCTCTGCACGATAGAAGCAAGATAAAATTTAATGGAACAACTTGTCGTTAGTTGCCAAGCTCGTGATGCATAGCCAAATATGTATAGTGAAGGATAGCTAAACTTGATGATGATAGCCACTAAATTTAAAGGTTTTCAGGTATTGCAAAACAGGTGAAATTTTCCAATTAATGGATTTTGTAAAGAACTGTGGTGAAGCAGTAATAAATGAAGATGATATAAAAGAAGTTTTTCTTTGTGATGACAATGCTTCTCAATCATCAATCAATTAATGAATGGCGAAATTTGTAGTATGGTTCTAGATCCATAAAATACCTCTATTATTAGTGAAGAAAGTGACAAAGAAATTACTGAAAACGAGAAAATTTCGATTGACGAGTTAGTCGGAATTCTCGAAACAGCAGTTACAAGACTTCAACAATGTAACTAAACAAGAGATTATGTCTGTCTACAGAATTAAAGAAAAAGTATTATCCCAAAAAATGAAGCAACTTAAACAACTTACATTGAAAGAAATATTTAATAAGGTAAACAAATAAATATTAAGCTTTTTTTTTTTTTTTTTTTTTTGGTACATTTGGATACCCTTTAGATCATAAATACTTCATTATTTCATAAATCACGATTTCATATTTTTAATTTTATAATTTCTACATGCTATACTAGATTTAAACTAATGATCTAATATCTGGAAAAATCCGAAATCCGGAATCGCAGATGTCCCGACGAGTGCGGACATCGAACTTTGTACTGTATCACGTTTTTTTTTTGTAAAACAATTCCAGAAGATAGTGAATGAACGGGTTTCGCACAATGATTTATCGCATTTTTCAAAAACAGATGAAGCCTTTCGATTAGATTTCTTTGCACACTCTTCATATTGACGACAAGCTGGAGATATCTTCGGAAATTTCAATGGTCTGTCATTTGTTAAATTTTGAATCCTTTTAGAGTTACTTCTAATGCTCTGTGGTATATTCCCTGATCTATCAAGAAGAAGCTGTTTCATTAAGTCAACAGCCAGTTCTTTCGAATAACTTCATTATGACAAATGATTGATTTCATAGTTGAATTTGTTCACAGTATAAGAATTACACAGCGCAAACATTTTTATACATTTTTATGATTTGCTCTTAATGTAGTGGCAAAACTAGCATCTTCACGGTAGATGGTTCTTGTTTTTCATCCGTAGTACTATTCGGCCATGGGGGTATAAAATTTATGAACCTAGCGGTTTCACTAATTGGCTGGCGAGTCCTAGAGTGGAGCAACTCTAGTAGCCCAGGGGTAGCATCCCAGGTTTGCTGGGTAATGTCCCTCTGCGACGGGCAGCCAGCAAATAGATGACCAGCATCGCCTTATGGTAATTGGTACCTCTCTCTCCAAGGAGTGGGGAAAGAGCCGGAAACATTCCGAGGGGGGTGGGGCAGTATACTGCCCAACTGATAATCAATAGTACTATACTCAGAAATTCAGTTTTTTAAAATTATTACCTACTTTTCCCAAAAATGTTTCTTACTAGGGCTAATCTATCAAATTCTTTTTCTACTTAATGACTGTATATGGCATCAACTATGTATGCCATGACTGGTCTGTTGAAGCATTTGCGAGAACTTTCAGTCTCCGTTCATACTCGGTCAGATTCATAATGTCAAATGAGTGCAGAACTTTAACATGAGCAGTTGGTGAAATTGACCCAGACTCATTACCCCATACAAAAATAAAAAATGTTCTTAAAGTTTTTGTTCCTAGGAATCCCTCTTAATAGACTACTCAATAAGGTATCGGAAGCGACAAGTGCAAGTTTTGAGAAATTTCTAATTTGAAAAATAGGAAACATCCAGTTCAATATATATCCAATGAGTATGCTCCCAGGTTAAATTTAGACAACATCAAGTAAAAGATCTATTAGTTCAATAAATGAATATCCAGTAAACACTTACTCACAATTAAAAATACAAATAAATGATTCATACAATTTAATCAAGTAAACTTTTAATTAATCGTTTTTAATATAAAAACAATATAATTAAGGAAACAAGAAATTAATCAATTAAATGAAAAGCAAAAGAAAGTTTTTCTACAATTTTACAATATAGACAAATAATGAAAAATAGTATAATCACATACCAATATCTTTTTTTTGAATAGTTTTCTTCTTGTTCTGTTTGGTAAATTTATATGCTTCTCTTCCCATCATATATATGAAGAGCTCCTGAAATACAAATGAAATTCTATTCAAAACACAATTTTTTAATAACAGAAAAGTGTAATAAAATATCTACTGAAGAAAAGTACACCAACCTTCCCTCCCTTCCTTTTAACTTATGCAGGATTATTTTTCAAAACAAACCAAATTTCTCATGTATATGTACATAAGCTACAACAACATTTTTTTCAAAAATGGCATAAAAAGAACTATATAAAAACTAAAAAGTAATAAATGTATATCTTTAAAATTATGAAATTGCATTATCATGAAAAACTCCAAATGGTTAATTATAATACATGCTTTATCATCTTCAAATTGAAAATGGCAATATACTGAAAATTACACAAAACAGCAACACATTAACAAAATTAGAAGCATCTAACACATGAAAAACAATACCCATTTTAAAAAATAGCAATTTACTGAAAATTACACAAACAGCAAAAAATTAACAAAATCAAAAATGCCTAACATAAGAAAAACAGTAGTCATTTAAAAAATTTCCACTTTACTAAAAGTTACACAAATCAGCAACAAATTAACAAAATTAAAAACACAAGAAACAACATCAAGTTAGAGTTGACTTAAGCGTACCCCTTGTATTATCGCGAAGTTATTGCTTCATTTATGGTAGCCTGAGTAGTTAAATGTTATGGAAATTATATTATGACATAATCAGTTGCATTATTGCAGTAAATTCGTAAGGGCTTGCAGTGTGTGTTGGTTAGGACGTATATTGCTTGTTTCGTGGTTAGATGGTAAAATGGCTGAATGTGGTAAGATTAATTTCAAGTTTCTGTACGATTTGGAAAGAAAGGGGAAAAAAGCATTGGTTGATCTTTGGATTATGGTAACTTGGCAATTTTTTGGCGAAAATTTGGTGACTAACTCTGCTACAACAACCCTCTATTTTTTTTTCGCCTCCATTTTGTCTTCACGAAGTAAAGACATGGTTCTTTTCTTTTTATTTACTGAACACTTTTTCCAACAATCTACTAGCCGAATTACACTTATGCTAGAAATTTTATGTAACAAAACTTGGTTGATCTTTGGATTATGGTAACTTGGCGATTTTTTGGCGAAAATTTGGCGACTAACTCTGGTACAGCAACCCTCTATTTTTTTTTTCACCGCCATTTTGTCTTCACGAGGTAAAGACACTTTTCTTTTCTTTTTATTTACTCAACACTTTTTCCAACAATCTAATAGCCGAATTAAACTGATGCTAGAAATTTTATGTCACAAAACTGCTTAATCATGACAAATATTAACTGCAAAATTGGGAAAAAGTGCAGAATCGCAAACTCCTTGCGCGTTCTTCAGAATAGCACATACACATAAACCATTTACACGTCGACTTATTTTTACTTAAAAAAACATCCCAGAATTGCACAAAAATGGCATTGCACACACTCTTAACTTTATCCATCTACACTGCTATTTTCTCATAAATTACAAAAATTTGCACGAAAATGCAGGAAAATTTTCTTAATCTTTAAACTTGATAAAAAGCACATATATGAAATTACCTGATCGTGAAAAAGTACGTACCCTTTCCAAGGACGAACATTTCCACATATAAAATAAATAAAATATCCAAAAACTTTTACCTCTAAATTATCTATTATATTATAAATGTCACCAACGAATTCATACCGCAAACATTACAAATACTTAGTGTCAAATATTTAAATTATTTCTATGCACGTTTACTTCAACTAAAACATATACCAAATTCCTACAAACATAAAATTCACAAAATAACTATCATTTAATTAAAATATCACTAAACCATGTACACGTCGACTTATTTTTACTTAAGAAAACATCCCAGAATTGCACAAAAATGGCATTGCGCACACTCTTCACTATATCCATGTACACTGCTTTTTTCTCATAAATTAGAAAAATTTCACGAAAATGCATGAAAACTCACGTATACTACTCAACATATTCCAAATACTCCAAACATATAACTCACAAAATCACGATCATTAAATTAAAATATAATTAAATTAAAACACTACTTAAAAACATAAATAAACACATACATAATTAATAAAATTAGATAACAATCCTAATTACTTTAAACTAAATCATTGCTAATAACAATTTTCGGTTGATCTTTACATTATGGTAACTTGGCAATTTTTTGGCGAAAATTTGGCGACCAACTCTCCTACAGCAACCCTCTATTTTTTTTTCCCGCCGCCATTTTGTCTTCACGAAGTAAAGCCATGTTTCTTTTCTTTTTATCTACTGAACACTTCTTCCAACAATCTACTAGCCGAATTACACTTATGCTAGAAATTTTATCTAACAAAACTGCTTAATCATGACAAATATTCACTGCAAAACTGGGAAAAAGTGCACAATACCATACTCCTTACGCGTTTTTTCAAAATAACACATACACATAAACCATGTACACAACGCCGACTTATTTTTACTTAAAAAAACATCCCAGAATTGCACAAAAATGGCATTGCGCACACTCTTCACTATATCCATGTACACTGCTTTTTTTCTCATAAATTAGAAAAATTTCACGAAAATACATGACAATTTTCTCAATCTTTAAACCCGGTAAAAAGAACATATATGAAATTACCTGATCGCGAAAAAGTATTTACCCTTTCCAAATATGAACATTTCCACATATAAAATAAATAAAATATCCAAAAACTTTTACCTCTAAATCATCTATTACATTATACACGTCACCAACGAATTCATACCGCAAGCATTACAAATACTTAGTATCAAATATTTAAATTATTTCCATGCACGTTTACTTCAACTTAAACGTGTACCAAATTCCTACAAACATAAAATTCACAAAATAACTATCATTTAATTAAAATATCACTAAACCATGTCAACGTCGACTTATTTTTACTTAAAAAAACATCCCAGAATTGCACAAAAATGGCATTGCGCACACTCTTCACTATATCCATGTACACTGCTTTTTTCTCATAATTAGAAAAATTTCACGAAAATACATGACAATTTTCTCAATCTTTAACCCGGTAAAAAGAACATATATGAAATTACCTGATCGCGAAAAAGTATTTACCCTTTCCAAATATGAACATTTCCACATATAAAATAAAAATATCCAAAAACTTTTACCTCTAAATCATCTATTACATTATACACGTCACCAACGAATTCATACCGCAACATTACAAATACTTAGTATCAATATTTAAATTATTTCCATGCAACGTTTATTCAACTTAAAACATACACCAAAATTCCTACAAGTATAAAATTCACAAAATACTATCATTTCATTAAAATATAATTAAATTCAAAAACACCACTTAAAATATACATGAGCACATACATTCAATTAATAAAAATTACCTTACAATCCTAATTACTTTAAACTAAATCATTACTAATAACAATTTTCCCAATAATACCAAATTCCTTTCCACCTTATATTTCCAACAATGCATAAAAATAATATCCTCAAATAATTAAAAATACTAACTTACCTAATCTCCTTCAGAATCTTCATTACGTGGCAGATACACTTTTCTTCATTCTCTTTCAGAATCTTTAAAATCATACTTATCTTTCAAAGCAAGATACCAGGTAAAATAAATAACATAATAAAACATGTTTATTTCTCTCTCTCTCGCACAACCTTAAAAAAACATTTCTTACTATCCTTTTCAATACCACTAAATACCCATTTCGAATTCACTTTACTTACGGCCATGGGATCCAAAAAATTCACAAACACTATTTCACACAACACAGAATAAAGCCAAATACAAAATTTCCGCCAGATTTTTTTTTTTTCCCGATTTCCCCCCTTTTCCTTTTTCCGATTAAAGAACCGTAATTCGTCCATTAATATCACATGACATATCCCATGATCTCGCATTTCCCCCCCACAAATAATGCGTAATCGGAACTCAGTACTACTGCTCACATTATTACCAAAGTCCCAGGTAGTAACCTTTATCGCCTCCAAAAATGTCGCCAAACTACCAGTTACCGTAATGTAAAGATCAACCACCAAATTCCTACAACACAAATAACTATCATTTAATTAAAATATAATTAAATTCAAAAACACTACTTAAAATATAAATGCACATACATTAAATTATACATACATAAATACCCATTTCGAATTCACTTTAGTTACGGCCATGGGATCCAAAAATTCACGAACACTGTTTCACACACACACAGAATAAAGCCAAATACAAAATTTCCAGATTTTTTCCCGATTTCCCCCCTTTTCCGATTAAAGAACCGTAATTCGTCGATTAATATCACATGACATATCCCAAGATCTTTCATTTCCCTCACACAAAATAATGCGTAATCGGAACTGAGTACTGCTCACATTATTACCAAAGTCCCAGGTAGTAACCTTTATCGCCTCCAAATGTCGCCAAACTACCAGTTACCATATTTGTAAAGATCAACCCTTTTTTTCTCATAAATTAGAAAAATTTCACTAAATACATGACAATTTTCTCAATCTTTAAACCCGTAAAAAGAACATATATGAAATTACCTGATCGCGAAAAAGTATTTACCCTTTACAAATATGACATTTCCACATATAAATAAATAAAATATCCAAAAACTTTTACCTCTAAATCATCTATTATATTATAAACGTCACCAATGAATTCATACCGCCCAACCATTACAAATACTTAGTGTCAGATATTTAAATTATTTCCATGCACGTTTACTTACTTCAACTAAAACGTATACCAAATTCCTACAAACATAAAATTCACAAAATAACTATCATTTCATTAAAATATAATTAAATTCAAAAACACTACTTAAAATATAAAGGAGCACATACATTAAATTAATAAATTACTTTAAACTAAATCATTGCTAATAACAATTTTCCCAATAATACCAAATTCCTTTCCACCTACATTTAGAACAATGCATAAAATATATCCTCAAATAATTAAAAATACTAACTTACCTAATCTACTTCAGAATCTTGATTACGTGTCCGATAAACTTTTCTTCTTTCTGTTTCAGGATCTTTAAAATCATACTTATATTTCACAGCAAGGTACCAGGTAAAATAAATAATTTAATAAAACATCTTTATTTCTATCTCGCACAACCTTAAACAAACATTTATTACTACCCTTTTCAATACCACTAAATACCCATTTCGAATTCACTTTAGTTACAGCCATGGGATCCAAAAATTAACCAACATTCTTTCATACAACACAGAATAAAGCCAAATACAAAATTTCCAGATTTTTCCCGATTTCCTCCCTTTTCCGATTAAAGAACCTTAATTCGTCCATTAATATCACATGACATATCCCATGATCTCTCATTTCCCTCACACAATATAATGTGTAATCGGAACTCAGTACTGCTCAGATTATTACCAAAGTCCCAGGTAGTAACCTTTATCGCCTCCAAAATGTCGCCAAACTACCAGTTACCATATTGTAAAGATCAACCCAATTTTCAAATAATACCATTTTAATTTATTTACTCCTTACATTTAGAACAATGCATAAAAATAATATCTTCAAATGATTAAAAATACTAACTTACCTAATCTTCTTCAGAATCTTCATTACGTCGCTGCAGTACTACTGCTAATTTCTAAATCCTAAATCCAGTAGTCAACTCGAAGTCTATTCACCGAGTAATAAGAAATTAATAAAATTTCACCTATATTCAAACTACTTTCAACAATCCACAAACCCTTCCTTACACTCCTTTTCACAAAATGTCCATTTTCACCATATTTCTTGCACCGCCATTTAAACTTGTAATATCCTTCCTTTCACACAATCTCAACTTATTATTATTATCAGATAAACGCATTAAAAATTTATAATTCACTTTACATAGCACCATGCAATCTAAAAATTAATCAACACTAAATGAAGTTTTTCCAAATTAACCCCCTTTTCCGATTAAAGAACTGTAATTCGTCCAGTAATGTCACGTTTCACACAACACAGAATATAGCTAAATACGAAATTTCCAGATTTTCCCCCCCTTTTCCGATTAAACAACTGTAATTTGTCCATTAATGTCACATGACATATCTCATGATCTCTCATTTCCCTCACACAAAATAATGCGTAATCGGAACTGAGTGCTTCTCACATTATTACCTCCTAGGTAGTAACCTTTATCGCCTCCAAAATGTCGCCAAACTACCAGTTACCATATTCCAAAGATCAGCCCAAAACTGCTTAATCATGGCAAATATTAACTGCAAAATTGTGAAAAAGTGCACAATCGCCCTATCCAGACCTGAACCCTATCGAGAGCCTCTGGGACGAGTTGCATCACCGAATTCAGGGGTGCACTGCCCGTGCAAAATCGGTGAAGCAACTTCTATGTCTTCTCAAAGCCGAGTGGAAGAAAATACCACTAGCTGTCATACAAAGACTTGTGGAAAGTGTGCCCCGGAGGGTCCACGCTGTAATTACCTCTTGTGGATGCTCTACCAAGTATTGATTTTGAATAAAGTTAGTTTTTCTTTTCTATCATAGGTTTCCAAATACTTATTGGTAGTCAGTGTATCTCGCACAACCTTAAAAAAACACTTATTACTACCCCTTTCAATCCCACTAAATACGCATTTCGAATTCACTTTAGTTAGGGCCAAGGGATCCAAAAATTAACCAACACTGTTTCACACAACAGAGAATAAAGCTAAATACAAAATTTCCAGATTTCCCCCCCTTTTCCGATTAAAGAACTGTAATTCGTCCATTAATGTCACATGACATATCTCATGATCTCTCATTTCCCTCACACAAAATAATGCGTAATCGGAACTGAGTACTTCTCACATTATTACCAAAGTTCTAGGTAGTAACCTTTATCGCCTCCAAAATGTCGCCAAACTACCAGTTACCATATTCCAAAGATCAGCCAAAGCATTACTTGACTGGTGTGTAAGATTTACTTAATAGCCAATATTAGGTGTCCTGTTTGTAGAAAGGAAATGCGTATGGTCGTACGTCAGAAATGCGTATGGTCAAATGTCACTATGGAGGATATTTTTTACTCTTGTTTTGTGAATTTATGTGGCGAAGCCAGTATACAAATTCTAGTTCAGATAATTTTAGGAAATTTTTGGATGCTGTTAAGGAATTATGTTTGACTGAAGATGTGTTAATTTGTAAATAAGGTGAGTGGATAGTTCCTTTTTTAGTGCAAAGATGAATTTCCTTTTTTATGTTATTTCATTGTTAGATTTAAAATGTAGTTTATTGAGATTATATGTTTTTTGATGGCTGCTCCTTTGACTTTTGAAGTTAACATAGTTCGATGTGTACATGGACAAACTAAAGAAAGTGTGCAATGCCATTTTTGTGCAATTCTGGGATTTTTTTTAAAGTGAAAATAAGTCGATGTGTACATGGATACTGAGTTTGTACAATTCTTTGCCTTGTTATTTTGGCTTTGTGTACCTGCGATTTTTTAAGTCAAAGAATAGCACAAACTCGATATCCATGTACTACCAACAATCAACAAAGGGGTATCCCATAAATGTACTTTTCCCAAAACATTCATATATGAAACACTTAAAATTATATAAACCAGCAAAACATTAACTAGCTGGAAGTGCAAAAATGGCATTTCCTGTAACAATCTAAGAAAATTTGCAGAGAGATAACTCTACTTATGGTACCTTGAACAGTACTGATGATAATTTTATTTTGTATTGAAAGCAGTTGCCTACTTGTGCTAGCATGAACCGTGCCAATATTTCCCAAATTTATTATTATCCAATCACAGGATTTTTCATTTTTCTGATATGAGCAAAAATTGTCACATGTAAACATTTTTCTCCAAGCGTAGGGTTTCGTTCCTTTCTTCCTTTTTAAATGCACCTTATACATGCTTCATAGTTTTATATGAATGCAAAACAGTTCAAACAAACAAGGTCACATTCACAATATTCAATTGGGCTAATCTTTGGAAAATGGTAACAGGTAGTTTGGCAACATTTTGGTAAGGCGATAAAGGTTACTAGTCTAGGATTTTAGCAGTGTACATGGATAAAATCAAAAGTGTGCGCAATGCCATTTTTGTGCAATTCTGGGATGTTTTTTTAAGTGAAAAATAGGTCGACGTGTACATGGATGATATCGTGTATGTGCAATTCTTAAAAACGCGGCAAGCAGTGGGCGATTCTGCACTTTGTCCCAATTTTGCAACTAACCTTCGTCAAGATTAAGCACTTTTGTTCCTCAAAAGTTCTAGCATAAGCGTAATTCGGCTAGCAGATTGTTGGAAAAAAATGTTGAGTAAACATAAAAAAAAAATTTTTTTTAAATGCCTTTACTTCATGAAAACCAAATGGTGTCCAAACAAAAACTAGCAGGTTGCTGTAGCAGGGTTGGTCGCCAAATTTTCACCAAAAAATTGCCAAGTTACCATAATTCAAAGATTAACCTTTAATTATAATTGGGAAGCCTACCGTGAATCAAAAGCATTCTGATTTAGAGGAATTTTCTGAAGAGATCTATTCAAAATATGGGAAAAGTACAGTTACATGCTTTGATTGGATACAAATTGCATACCATAAGAGAGATGGTGGAGAAGTCATTTATTAATAATCTCCAAAAAGATGTGGTGTATTTAATTATGGCAAAGCACACTAGGGCTATCTGCCTAAGAGGAGGGATGCCTTCGTGGAGGACTTTCTAAGGGAAACTGGCTCGGATACACGTTACACATGGGGAAAACCACGAAAATGTACATGCAGCCAGCAAGTTCGCAGGATTCGAACCTCGGACCAAACTACCAGTGTTCAGCGACTTTACCGCTCGGCCGCTGGTGGGCAATCTCCAAAAAAAGAAATCCTGGCTTCTTAAAGACAAGAAAACACAATGAAATGCACACTAAATGAACACGCAACTCAAAATACTAAATGGAAAATAAACAGGTGCTTGAAGACCAAATAAAATATCTAGTTTAATTCAAATAAATGCTTACATATCTTTAGAAAATTTATCTACGAGATATTCAATTAATAATGAAAAATCTTGACTGATATTGACTTACACCTACAGAATGCATATAGAAGATAGCAATATCTCTAATGAAAAAATGCATAATAGATATTAATAGAAGAAAAATGAAAAAGAGTGCAGACATTTGATAGAAGAAGAATAAGAATGGTTAGCATCTCTGGTTTACAGAGGACAAATTTCTAACTATTCCCATCCTAAAAATAAGATTTAAAAAAAATATATTCATATTCTTTGAAATGTGAGAAATTAATTCTCTGTAAACTAAAAGTATGATAAATACTAAATATCGAGACTTTTACTTTTTCCAAAAAAATACTAGATTTAGTTTACCTTTTAAACAATTAACTATGTTTCTATAAGAAATGGGAGTACAAATTTAAATAAAATGTTTCATTAAATATACTTTTAATTTAACTCAACAGCACAAACACAAAACATGTTAATAAACACTTTGTTTTAAATATCAAAATAGCATGAAATGAAAATTCCAAAAGATGATTCAATTCTAAAAGACAAATTGGATACATATAAAAAAAAGGGTTTAATATGTAGTTTTACTGGGGCATGCAAATTTCGGATTTTCTTATTCTATGTGTCATAAACATATTAAATCAAAAGCTGTTCGGCTGAAATGAATTTTTTTTTTATCATAAGCTTAAATATTGAGACAGTTCACTTAATTTTCAATTTACATTCGATCTTACCGCAGCTTTAGCAATAACAAACACAGCATCATGACTGGCTAAGTTAACGTCTGGATCTAACTTTATTAGATTTTTAATTCTTGTAAGAGGAAGTTGAACAAGTTTTTCTATTTTTTCTGGTCCTTTACCTTCCGTTAAATTATCAACACGAGTTTTTGATGACGAAACTATCGTTTCAACAGATTCACTAAAATCTTCTACTACATTTGTATGGTTATTATCAAGAGGCACATCATCTACTATAATTGTTTCAGATGTATCAAATCCTTCCTCCACTTCCATATTTTTTCCCGCGTTAATACACCAAAAATCTACAGGCGTCTCAAGACCAGAAGAGGAAAATGCTCATCTTCACTGTCATTGGCTGTATACCACGTGACACTCCCGAAACGTTTTAGGCGCTATTTCTGGTTTTTCGCCAACTGCAATTGTGTTTCTCGCCAATTGTTAGCGATTTGTTTAAATCAAGGATATTGTTTTTTTTTTTTTTTTTTTTTTTTTTTTTTTATTATCAAAATGGATATGTTTAAATGTAAATCTTGCAGTTCATCTTTTTATGCGAAAAGATATTTGAAAGCGCATGCACAAAGAATACGCGAATTTAAATAATAAAGTTGCACCATTTTCGTGTACGTATTGTACGAAGCAATTTTGTACAAAAAATTCTTTAGCTAAACATAGGATACGTATCCATAATGTAAGGCGAAGTAATATTAAATGCGGCGAAGACGAATGCCGGGAACTATTTCCTACTACAGGAGATTTAAGATCTCACTTAGAGACTTGCCATAATTACAGCAATATGACCAAATGTATAAAACTGGAGTTTAAAAAAAAAGCAAGGTATGCAATGAACTTTTTATTATTTTGTTTTCCTAGTTCAATTATAAATAAGCAAAAATATATTGCGTAACTTCTGTATATAGCCCTTAATCTTTTTACATTAAAATTAAATAACTTATTTGTAAATTAATATAGCTGTTATTCATTAAAGCTAGTTCAGCACATACATTTATTTGAAGAAACACACCATATATATGGTATTATTAATTTAAGCTGTTTCAGCACACAAATATGCATTTATTTGAAAAAATTAACAAATTAATTACTTTGAAACATATAATTTCAGAACACTATAGTTTTAACAATTAAGATTATTTTTCTGTGTGGCTGCAATCTGCATATTTTTATTTACTAATTAGATGCCCTTATTATGAAAATTTATACATTTATTTATTTATTAGACTTTTATTCGTGGCTATCGGATGGAGAAAGAAAAACAAAGACTCATTTTGTGGTAGATTCATCTGGGCAGAAACATAAAAATTACACCAGGACGCTGTTTTGCTGTAATAGAAGTGGGACATACAAAGCAAAAGGCAAAGGTGAAAGACAGCTAAAAGCACAAGGGACTTCCAAAACAGGTTTCTCTTGCACAGCTACTGTCATATTAAAAGATTTTGGCAATCGTTTTGAAGCTGTATATTTTAAAGAACATTACAAGCATGAAAAATCCCTTTGTCATCTCCCTATTCCTAAACAAGAAAAGCAAAGCATAGCAGGCAAGTTATGTGTTAGACCATATTTTGATTGTATTAATTTCTCTTAAATAAAACTATAATTACTTATGCAGTTGGAGCCTTTCCAGCTGTCATTAATATACAGGTGGTTCAAAATTCCAAAAGTGAATGAATTTTAATATTAATGAAGTTGATAATGAAAATCATTCATGGAAAATTCAGATTGGGAGAGAAACACACGAGTGTGAAATTTAAAATTAGGCTTAACAGCAGACTTAATTTGCATAGATTTTAAATAAAATTATCAGCTTTGAGGACAGACACAGGTATCTCTTCAGGAGTACAAAACTTTTGCAAAATGGAAGGAGTGGGTAGAGCAAAGTAAAGTTGAACGTAACACTGTCTGCTGTGGAAAATAATAATGAAGCATGTAAAACCAAGATATTACAATTCTAAATGTGTTATGAAGGAATTAACACATTTATAATTCTAATATCTTAATTTGTTTCATTACTGTTTTATCTGAATGGTGCAATGTTTGTGTTTCTCTGTCAACTGCTTTTAATATAAATTTGGATAATTCTCTTGAAGAAGAGGGACCTTGAAAATGCTGAAGTGTGATTCAAAATCTAGATGAAACTAAGATTAATATTTTGCCTGATTTAAAATTATGGTAAATTGTTTTCTCTTGTATTTATGAACAGCATATTAAATATTTATATAAAAGTGATTAATTATCTATATTTAAGTAACCTGAGATTTGTAACAATTGTTTTTCTTATTGTTAAATAAAGTATCATATTTCTTACTAATCTACTGTATAGGCATATTTGTAAATTTAAAGATACTTTTTTTATTCCATTAGTTTTTAGTATATAAGATACATCTGCTATGATATTTACATTTTTCAGTAACTATATTATACTAATGACCTAATAGTCAGTTTAGAGTTTTCGCCAGTAATCTATTGTCACATTTGTGAACAGGTGGTGTGGCTACAGCGGACGTTGCCAGAGCGAACACATACAATTTCGCGATCAGAGCGGACACTTCGAAACTCATCGTGGTTAGAGCTGCACATCTTTTCCCCATCTTAGAACAGATAAAGGGTGCAGATAAATAAGTAAATAAATACTTTTAAAAATCGCAAATATAATTTAAAACAGTATTTTAAGTGGCAAATCTCTTTTACCGACATTTTCTGTTTTTGCACTCGATTATCGAATTACAATGATAAATACATTTTTGCCAATAATATTTAATTATTTATATGTATTTAAATTGTTATGATATTATAGTGCGAATGCATTTTAAACATAGCGAAATGTAATAAAAATAAAAACTTTTGTGTAAATATAAAATGTAATAAAAATAAAAATTTCAGGGATTTTGTGGAAAAACTGTATTTTAGAGTCAAATATTAGAACAGGTGCAGTTACCATAAAATTAATTAGCTGCATTAATGTAAGTAAAAATAAATATTAGAAGTAAAATATACAAAACAGATACTAGTAAATAAATACTAGCTATCCTTTATTATAAAGGCATAAATATAATTTACAATTTAGTCCAACCTAGTTACAAAACTTAAAGATTTTAGACATTTTTCTAAATTGTTTGATGTTTCGAATTCTTTTAGGATGTTTTTAATTCTTTCATCCAATTTTACATATGCTTTTTTCCTTGTTATTTCAGGGTCGCCTAAATTCTCTGGCTTTCAAATTAAAAGACACTTTTTTGTGTTTCTTCTTTTAGTATTTTAACTAATAAGTGCACAATAGGCTGGTTTCTGCCAGTGATTGTGTTTAATTTAGAATTCCACCTTTCAACAGAATTATTTGTCCTATGATGCTGTCCATGTACATTCCGTATTTTAATGGGCATATTTGGATTTTCCATCCACTGCTCGACAAAAGAATCAATGAATGTGGTAAGTTTGTCAATGCTGAAAGCTTTTTCCCATACAATGCTCCAAGTATCATCTACATGTTCTATTGGCAAGTAAGCTAAGGCAGAAATCATTCTACAGACATGTCTTATATCTTCGTTCTCTTTATATTCCTTTATTACACCCATTTCTCCCCATTCATCTTATGTCACAAACATTGATTAAAATGAAAGTTACAACCGGATATAGTCGAACTGGGAAATTCTAACATACAGCTATTGATGGCTGCGGCTTCAAAATCAAATTTTATAATGTCCGGCTTCTACTTAGGGTACCAACATTTCACTTCCTGAAACATTGCAACGTACGTTGCTTGTGTCTTATAAGGCAGAAATGCAAAAAGCGCTGGATAAATATTGGTCTCAGTTGCTGTACTCCTTAAGTTGATGTTCAAATTTCAAAACACTTACTATTTTATATATTGTTGAAATAATTGATTAGGGCAATGATTGTATTCGTGTTCATTAAAAAAAAAAATTTCAGTTGCAAGCTGATATTCTAATATCATACCATTGTTTGCATGGAATTAATATTTAGTAGGTATAAAATAATATAAAATTTTCTTTTCAAGTTCATATAAATGAAAAACTTTATTTTGCTTATAGTATATATAATTTTTATCTCCTAATTATCTTTTTAAATTATTTCAGGTAAATTATTGCAGGAGGTGGAAGAGAAACGAATTTTGCAAGATGCAAGATTCTCTTCGAGAGATGATATTGAAACAAAACAGTTAATAACGAGAAAAGACCTGCATAACATTAAGAGGGATTTTGGTCTGAGCATTAATTCTAAAGGATTAATTTTAGGATAATCTAAAGGATGCATAGCTTAGATTCTACTATATCTAAGCTATGCATTTATCCTATACTTAATCTACACATATATTAAATCTATTTACAAAGTCATGTTTTATAATAACTATTCTACTGTAAATGTGAATTACACATTTATCATATACGTAATCATTGCCCAGTTAGGTGATAGGATTGTTGATGTTTCTTTAAATAATGAGTCCAGATAAGCAGGATGGTATGAACAATTTATTAGGAGAATAGGCACAATACTATTACACACAGAACAAAAATGGCTGAAAACAAATCAATTAGGAATTCACTTTTCTCATGAAATAAATCCTAAATCACTTTCTCAGGATAAACACTAACTTGTAATTCAGCTAACTGCAAAGTCTGGCACCTGATTCACAAGCAAACTCTCAGACCCATATTTATACTCTGCAGGATGCGTTATGCAAGATAAATGCAAAGTTCGTTATGACACGAAAACCTATTTTCGAAGCCCTGTGACCAATTCATCCAGAAGTTTCTAGAGCCATGCTGCAACAGGCATCTCAAGATAGATAACGTAAAATGCTTATCTTTACTGTCATTAACTATATCACATGACAGTCCTGAAACGTTTTTGGCTCTATTTCTAGTTCTCCTCCAACTGCGTATCTCGTCAATTGTTAGCAGTTTGTTTAAATCAAAGAGCTTGCACTTCGCTTTCTTTCTTTTTGCTTTTATTACTGAGATGGATATTTAAACATATCCATATTATATAGATATTTAAACATAATGCAAATCTTGCAGTGTGTCTTTCTATGTGATGAGATATTTAAAAGCACATAAACGTATGCACAAAGATACCGTCGCTAAAGTTACGCCATATTCGTCATCAATTTTAAGCAAACACAGAATATGCATTCATAATGTAAAGTGAAAAAATATTAAATTCAGTGAAGTAGGATGTCTAGAACTGTTTCTCACCACAGGAGATTTAAGATCTCACTTTTAAGTGAGTTTTAAGTCACTTTAAGATTTTAAGATTAAAGACTCGCCATAATTATAATAACATGATAAAATGTGTGAAACTTGGAGTTCCATAAAAAGCAAGGTTTGTAATGATCTTTTCCTTATTTTGTTCTTTAGTTCAATTATAAATAAGCAAAATATATTACGTGACTTCTGTATATAGCCCTTAAACTTTTTATATTCAAATTAAATAGCTTAATGAATACGGTGTTATTCATTAAAGCTATTTCAGCACACACATTTATTTGAAAAAAACACCATATATATGGTATTATTAATTTAAGCTGTTTCAGCACACAAATATACATTTATTTGAAAAAATTAGCATACATTAATTACTATAAAACTTATAATTTCAGAACACTATAGTTTTAACAACCAAGATTATTTTTCTGTGTGGGTGCAATTTGTATATTTTTATTCTAATGTCTTATAAAAATTTAACAAAAAATGCAACTTATTTTTTTTTATCTACTGCCATGTATAATTTGTTGTACTACTTGTTCCTTAATATGGAAAAGTTGTTATAAAAGTGCACAGTATGGCTCATAATTTGATTTCAATGTCTCACTTTAACTTTTTTTTTTTTTTTTTTTGTCTTTTGACCAGGAGAATTTATTATGAATTATTATTATTGTTTTACATATATTATTATTAGTTACTGATGAAGATCAATAATGGTTTTGGTTTGGTTTATTTAATTATGGCTATCTGCCTAAGGGAAGGGATGCCTTCGTGGAGGACTTTCTAAGGGAAACTGGCTCGTATACACGTTACACATGGGAAAAAACCATGAAAACGCCCATGCAGCCAGCACCATTCACAGGATTCGAACCTCAGACCGAACTACCAGTGTTCAGTGTCTTAACCGCTCGGCCTCTGGTGGGCTATATGAAATAACGAAAATTTGCTATCTTTGCTTTATTTCCAGCATAAATGCAAGTGTTTATTTTAGGAAAATAAAGCTGAATAAAATTTGTATATTTTTGCTAATTTTTTGAAAGATAATTTTTAACTATTTCATTTGTATTATGGAGAATAACGAGGATGAAACAAGTAAAAACCTTCATCAGATAACAAATAAGCGAAGATGCCAAATTTGAATATTAAGCGATAAAAAATTTAGAGAGCACACTACTCATACTTATCTCAGATGTTAAAAATCTGTTGGTTTATATAAAAAGTTGACTAATTCTTAATATAGAATACTATAACAATGCAAGCACTGACATAGTTTTCATAACCCTACATTTTAAAAACATTATAATTTAAAGATATACAGGGGTGTTTGTGGACCCTAAAAAATCCCCTGAAACTTTTACGGACTTACTAACCGACATTTTGGAGTTTCGAGAAGGGGGGGGGAGAGAAATGAAAAATTACAATTATGAAGTATTGAATGACCTAATTATAAAAGTTCAATGAATTACTTTTTTTGCAAAATTAATAACAATAAATTTTCAAACATATAAACTACTACATTTTATGTAAATATTTTAAACTACCTGAATTAATTCTTTTAAAAAAATTATCTAATTTCTGAGCTGCTTTTTTTTATTTTCTGATGTTTGTGGGCTTGTCTTTCTTTTGTGGTGAACTTCATAATTGCAGGAAGGTTGACTTTTATTTCCTCATTTACAGTTGAAGAAATTTCGAGAACTGCACATGCAAGGTAGAAGCAGTTTGCTTTTCTGCTAATGTAGAAGGTTTTTCAGAGACTTTTATAGGTGACTCATCTGAAATACATGTTTTTTAAGTCCTCTTGATATGTTTTCCAACTTCTGTTCATATTCAGTAAGAGATCTTTGTGAATTGGATCAGTCATTGGATTTTTTTGAGCCATATTTTTCACATGAGGTTTCTTTAGAAGCCATTAAATCATATTTAATAGTCTGCACTGCATCTAGGGAATCAATCTTAAGAGAGGTTCTATAGTCAGTGACAAGTGTATCCATTAAGTTGAATGCACTTTCCACTAATGGGCCATGGAAGCAGCTAAGCCAGGCTTTGACCAATTTAGCCAATGTAGGATACTTATAATCATTTGTGAAATCATCTTTTAAATTAAAAACTTTAGACCAATATTTATCAATTGTATACTTGACTTGATTTCCACTTTCATCAGATGTGTAGAGCATTTCTTTGGTGATATCAATATCACTCTTTACCTTATTTCAGCTTCTACTTTTGACTTTTCATTATCACTAAAAATATGGGACATAAAAGATGATAATTTTTCAAAAGCTAATATTGTACTGGTTTTACCTCTTAGCTCTGGATCTAATGCTGTAAAACTAATTAGATATGAATTTTTAAGGGGTAATTTCTGTTTCATATGCTGTGCTGTATTAGTATACGCTTTCATCAGAGAAATTTGGAATTCTTTTGCTATTGGATGATTTTTCAATAAACGAAACGAAAAATTTACACGTGCATCAATAAATGAAACGAAAATTTTACACAGCGGAGAAAAAAAAGTTGAGAAGCGATCAATGACAAATAGCTAATACGGCGAAAAATCCCCCTTCTCTACTTATTGGCGCTACGCCAGGAGCGATAAGACCTTTGAACTCAGAGTCACGTGATCGCACATCTGGTCGAACGAAGCCCCTACTTGCCGAAAAGAATCCAGAAGAGAATGTCCGAGAACCGGGGGAATGAGTCATAACTCGCAATAAGGAAAGAACAAAAAA